TGCTAAAAACAGATAATTACCAAAGTACAGATCGCATGACATTACGAAAATCAGTGAGTTAATGAATTCTTGATTTAAGTTTATGGCTGCGATTATTTCTTAGCGGTTTACTGTGTTTCTCGAATGTTGCAATTAATTACTACTTCCTGTTGTTTTTGTCACCATTTCTAACGGCTTTTTGTCCTACCAATTTTTGTTATGATTTGAGTTAGCAGTTTATGTGCAAATATGCATATGCGAATTCGTCTTCATAGTGTCAGTGTATATTTCTGAGGAAATAGCATATCCTGACATGCCTTTGAGTCAGTGAGCGATTTTCAGTTTTTTGAAAGCATCGATCTCAAAAAAAACATCCTTGAAGGAGACCATGACTTGCTCCGTTGCTCGTCTGCTTTCATCCATACACTTTCACAGTTTCAGTGTGAAAAGGACTCGGACATTGAACAACTCACGAAACAGGTGCGACAACCGTCTGATGGTCAGAGTGCTCAGGCATAGTCAGCTAAAGAAATGGACTGAAATGGTGTACGAAGCAGGTTTTAGTAATCCGGAACTGGCACGGGTCAGCCGTAACACAGGACATGGTCTCTATGCTGACTGAAGTAGCCTAGCTGCACTTGTTCCTGAGAAACTGTTGAGGTAGTACACAGGCCAAGTTGTCCTTCTTGCCGTGTGTAACTCATCTGCTTCAGACGACATCAGCTTCAGCATCAAGTTCACTAGCGTCGACTTGTAGAGTATCCATGAGATACGGGCCGAAACGCGTGTTCTTTATATTACCTGATTGACTGATTGTTTTGCATTGTACTTAATGAACTGTTTTTATGCTTCCTTATGTATTTTGTTGGTGCTGTGTTTACTACGCCGTTTCAAGACTGAACTGTTTAGATGAGCGTGCGAAACTTAATGAACGGAGCTCGAGCACTATTCCCGCCGGAAACGTCCGTGTTAGAGCAATACTACGCCCTCGGTTATAGCGATACAATGCGCTTTCTGATTAACAACAACTTGTTCGCAAAATTGGACAAAACCTGTGAGTGATATCGCTGTGCTGGCTACATGATTATGCCGTGTTTTATGTTCATGTGCAGTTGTTTTATTCTTCTTAATGATAATGTTGGCTTGAAATAAATTACATTTGAAATAGTGAATAGTTCTGTTCTATCACTGACGCTGCTTTGACGCTGGTTTTTGAATTCGTTTTTGCTTCAGTGTCTTGTGTGCTGCCTTTCAGTTTTAGTCATGAACTGTATCGTTGGGCTGATGAAAATCAGCGGTCGTTGCATGTGCCGTTTATTTCGATACATAACTAATGTATTTTGGTGCCTCCGACGCCGATCTGTGGCCGGCAACGTTCTTCCCTTTACGAACGATCAGAGTCAGAATGAAGAAGTGAATTTTTTGAATTTTTCTCTGTCGTTGGTTTGTCTAAAATGCATCGAATGTATAATCGATAGTGTAGAAAGCTTTCTGCTTCTTACCTACCTACCTACTTCTTACGTAATTAATTTAACAGATTTAGTTTTGCTTCGTACTAGGTCAAAAGTCCATCCATCACTACCCTTCGAATTAAGAAACAGCCCCTAGTCTGCCGGTTCGGTGGAATTTTCCTTATTGAGTAGACGTAAGATACGGGTTTAACTCCTGGTGGCGTTTCCATATCAGTCGGGTGAAAAGTGAAACCTGTGGTAAGCGCAGTTCTCTGATGTGTGCGTGGTATTTAGATAATGTCATAATGTGCAGTGAGAGATGTGGAAGCAGAAGTTTAAGGAGCGCTTCCTGTAGTACGACTAGTATCTAAGTTAGAATAAAACGAGATGTATAACAAGTAGTTTTATATGAAAGTGCAGAGCCAATGTGTCGGTGAAGGATTGCGGTCCGCCGCCTAAAGGCCCCCAGCATTCATTTGTTGTCTGTGTGCCATCATGACCAGGTAACGAGGTAAATCTATGAGTTATTGAGGAATCGTTACAGAAATGCCTCACTCCAGTTGGAAATGGTGAACTGCTTACCATCTGATGTGAAAATTCCTTTCTCACTAAAGGGAACTTTCTCGGGCTGTGTATTTTGTGCGGATCATATTTTGGACTAAGAGACATTAGTTAATGCTGAACGGCATCAAGTGTGAATGCTCAGAAGGATATCAAAACAAGGGATCGCAGTTGTAGCGCTTTCATAAGTCGGAGCAGCTCTTAAAACAGAAATTGAACTAAAGCAACTTTTTATTCGGCTATGCAAAACAAAGTGAAGGAGAGTGTTGAAACGGTAGTTTAAACACTGAACGTAAAAGGAGAGGGAAGAGACAAAGTAGAAAATCAAAGAAATGTGACGCAGTATCGGAAATAAAGACGAAAAGC